ACACGATATAATTTTCGCATAAAACATACATAGCGCTACACGTTCAGCTGTACTGAATTTTTGCAACCTGACCGACACCGATGATACCGCTTTTTCTCTTTGTGATGCGGGTGACCGCGACTTTATCGGCTCCTTTTAAGGAACATTTTATGGCGGTACGTTCTCGCGGAACGACCACCTACACGCAACGTTGAGCCACGTGTAAAAAGTAAAACGACTAGAGAGAAACGCGCCAGCGGAGAGCTGACCCAGCAAATCTTTCTCTTTCCGCGTAAATTTCGTAGTTGTCCGTGTAAATCATACCGGATTTGTAACTCGCTATAAAGTAATCGGTAAATATAGCTTGTAACATAAACAGTTAAAACATATAAGTGTATAAACGATAACTTGCATGCTCATGATAAAATATTACTGTCAACAGAAATTGGCTTCCCGATGCCAATTAAGGAAAACGTGATTTACAAACGATTTATGCTGCTAAAAAAACTCGGTGAAAAAGTGACGAATCGTTAATCTTAACATTTCCGGACAAGACGAGTTCGGCTTGATTAAGATCGACTGAACGCGCGGACAAACGCGGGCAGATGTACGATTAATGCTCGCGGCAAACCGCGGTTACCGCGGGATGGACCAACCGTTCGCCGTTGGTATCCGCATGTATATTATATGTAACGCGCAACATCCGCGAGTACCAAACGCCGCCGTCTCGAGCGATTGTCGCGCGACGTCCGTGTGCGTTACACGTGTCTCTCCTCGTAATAAGCAAGGACGCCCACGCACTCGGGTTACGAGCCGGACGGACGTGCGAGATGATGCACACCCGGCTTTCGCCACGCGGTTAATCCCGCGCGCGCAGTTACATATACGCGCATATATATATGCGCGCATTGAGGTCTCTAATGGCGATTCAATTGATCGCCCGGCTCGTCCGCACAGAGCGATTAGACCCGATTGTTGCCCGGTCGTTGACTTCGGACACGGACTTTGGCGCATAATGCGCGCTTCGATTTTTTTTTCTCCTTTCCGATCGGTTAATGGACCGTGCCGTGCGTATCATTCGATCGACTTCCTTTCGCTCGCGACTTAATCTTCCAATCGATTCGCCGCTCGTACTTTGACCCAGTTAAAAAAAAAATCGGCGTCTAACAATTTCTTTTATACTTGCGGAACTGTTGACGTCGACTGAATGATACTTTTCGCGTAAACGAGAATTTTTTTGTTATATCATTGTATTGATACACGCGTAATCGGAGCGAAACTTTGAAATGCTAATGAGAGATTGTGTTAGAAAATATTTCACAAGCTTTTCACGCAGTTTATACGCAACGTGCGCGCCGAGTAAAGTAATCTCGTCGAACGCATCGCGCTCCAAAACGAACGATAGAATAAAACTCTACAAAGTGCTATATTACTCGTATCGCGCTTAATTTTATTTAAACGAGAAGCAGTAAAACGGCCGCTAGCGGAGATTGGCATGGCGATTTTTATATGTAGGCGTGAAGTAGCGCTATGTATATAATAACTATGCAATTACGTTCAGCTGCTGGACATATTGATGGAGCGCGCCGCAACCGTGTCTACAAATTAATGCAGAGATCGAAAACGTATAAAGCGACGAAGTTATGTCATCCCGTGGGCGGACCGTTACGTTATCCGGCGAAAAATAAAGGCTTGACTAATGACGCTCGCGCATCGGTGTTTTTATCGCTGATGTTTCTTTTTTTTTTTTCTTCGATCGGCGGGCGGAAGAACCTTACAACCCAATCGATTATTCTTAGCGCGCGGCTAGATTACTATCGCGAAATCAGTCTACAATGTACATCCATCACGAGAAATAACAAAGCGGTGTAGGATATATTCCTACATTCGGTTATCATCTTGGCGAATCGTACGTGCATCAACGTACGTATCGTCTCGCAATCTCTTAAGCCCGTCTCACACTCCGCGTTGTGGACGCGGAATAAATTCAATTTGCGATCCATGAATGCGATCGTTGATCGATCAATCTGATCGAACGATTCGCAATTTGCAATCGAATTTAATCCGCGTCCATAATCCGTATAGTGTGACACGGGCTTTCCGACTCTCGATTCGTAAGTCATCCGCGCGGCCGTTTAACCGTATCTCGGCAGTTATACAATATCGTCTTTATGAATGGCCCTCTTTGAGAGGGTCTCGATGAGAGGAAACGACGTGGAAACGACGACGTCTACGCCGTTCGTTAAGTTTTGCAATACAAAAATTAGCGTGTATCGCCACGCTCCAGGAAGACCAACTCGCCCGAAACTGCCCGGCAGCGGACTTATTCCCGGTATGGGAATACACGAATCTTTAACTCAAGGATAACTGTGTGTATACATTTGCGTTTCCTTGCTAGTTGCTTACAAACACAACGTTTCGACTTAAGGAACTCGAGATGCTCAGCGTCTCGTAACGTATACCGCTACACGCGCGGTCTCTGTCTCTCTTTCTCTTTCGTTTTTCTGAGCAACCTCACGTTGTACGCCGTATATAGGGATCTTACGCGCTGCTTTCTCGCGTTCGTTTATTTTTGCGCGATTACGTAAATCCGATTGTTATAACGGAATCGCGGGCGTTTCGAGAGAGGCGCTAATAGAGACTTTGGGCCGAGCTCACGTTAACTATATAAAGTGGCCATTCGTAAAGATCCTCGGATTCTTTTTTCGAAAGCGGACATAATCGCACGCGATTACCACTCGCGGCTACTTGAGAGATATATCATGCCCGCGCTTTCTGTGTGATTTACAACGTCTTCATTCATGCCGACCAATGTCGACAGAGTCCAAACGAAAGCATCTCGCTTTTCTCCTCGAAGCATCAATATACTTTCGCTGTCATTTAAAATGCAGGGATAGATTCTAATTATACTTTGGTAATTTTTGGAAAAGACCTGAACTAAAAAATCGGAGTGTGCAGCTCTCTAAATTTTCTGGAATGAATCTCACTCCAAAAGATTGAAAAATACTGCCACTCGGCTACTTGAGTGGCAGTATTTTCACTCTTTTGAAGTGAGATTCACTTCAAAAGAGTGAAAAGTCACTCCAGAAAATTTAGAGAGTGCAATACATGTAGATATGTAATAAACGGCTGCTGTAACGCGGTCTTGACGTATTATAATTTTTCCCGTCTCGCGTGGCTAGATGTCTAGGTCGGAAATTAATTAAACGATCTTGAAGCTGACGTTGACACCCGCCCCGTCTAACGTGATCCATAATGAAAACGCTTGCGGAAAGGAAGGATTGATTCATCGCGATTTATAGAAACGTCTACCGTGATGTATGTGAGAGGATATTTCGCGCCCACACGTGCGGCGGCATATGGCTGAGCGCGCGCGCGAGCCTCGAGCATCGCGGCGCGGCGGCGCGACAATTTCATCTGCCGCGCCGCGATCGAACGCCGCGAGTTTCACCACGCGGGTTTCGCAAACGTGTCGCTCGCCGTCGTCATTCGTCCCGCTACAGAGGTTTCGATAAGAAAGTCGTCCTCTCCTCCGTGAGTGAGTTGCTCCTAATACCCACGAATCCGAGAAACACGCGTACGTGTTAACGGTAATATATTACGTTACGGTAATAGAGACAGCCGCGCGAAGATATCGATGTTATCGATAGCGAAGGACGCTCGTAGGTTTGTCCGTGAATATCGCGCGTTGGGCGGTGATTTGTGTTCTCAGTCCAGAGATATCGATAATGCGTAATTCCTACATCAGCTTGGCATTGATAGCGCGATTAATAATTACAATCTCTTCTCGCTCTCTTCTCGTTCCTGTTCTTCGAGAAGTAGAATGTATATAGAGTTTAAATTTAACATACGTGTTATGGTTACACTATTATAGTTTAACTATAATGTTAATTTTATCGTAAAATTGCACAGCCATGCGAACGCGTAATTGGAGGCATTACCGTGTCGTGACGAAAGAAATGTTTCTTCTTAAGAAACGCTGCAAGAAGATGTATATAGGCACCCAATTAATTATTGGTGCGTGAGTGTTGATTCTCGGGTCTCGAGAGGTGGTATGTTTCTTCGGAGAAGCAGGAAGTAACCGCTAACCCCGTTTAGTAAGATGCGGGTACCAATACTTCGCAGAATCCCAAATGATATCCACTCGACCAGCCTTTGTAAGCCGGTAGATGGTTCGTGCTCGATACTCCCTCTTAAGACTGCTTTGTTCTTTTAATCATTCGACTTCTTGTATTCCATTATAGCTCCCCCCATAGAATCGAAGCACGCGATAATATAACAGCAAGCGTAAACGTAATTACCAACAAGCACTCGTTCGCATATGCATACAGATTCTTTGTATTCTCGTGAAAAAAATATAATTTTTAACTGAGAATTTTTCAACTTAATCCAAATTTAATATGTATTTATCTTTCTAACTTCAACTCCGCTTTTGACCTTCAATTGCAGGTAAAAAAAATATTTAAGATAATACATATCCAAAAAATATTTTCACATCTCTTGAGTTTTGAATTTATAGCTTTTACCTAAAGATAATAGTGCGGACACTTAAAAGAGAGCCCTTACATTCGACGAGAAGGAATTCGCTCTGTCGTCGTTTCGTTACGGCTTCCCGAAGAAACCGTAAAGGATTTTCTGCGCGCGCATAAGTGCGCACTCATGTTTATCCATATCTCGAGAGTGCCTTATTCTTCCTCTATATTTTCTAAGAAGGGATTCATGTTGCGTCTTATCATCCGCCCTCTCGCTTTCGATTAGCTTTCACGGTGCGCGTCCACAGTTTTCGAAAGCGACATTCCGTCCCCCTCATGATAACGGTAGTCTCTCCTTCTGCTTCTCAGGCGGCACTTGATCGCGAGGCGCACGTCTCCGCACGACATCGCTCTTGAATAGCCTGGGAACTGTCGAAGAAAGTGAAGTGGGTCCTGGACGAGGACCCGGGGAGAGCGAGGAGAGAAGCGACGAGGGAGGAACCGGCGCGCGGCGCTCGCGCGAACGCCGCCGGCAGGAGCAGCCTCAGGATGTCGTACGCCAACCGATTCCCGTCCTCCCAGCACACCCGTTATCGCAGTAGCTGGGGCCCGTCCTCGGTCTCCGTCTTCAATCGCGCCGACGTGCCGCGACCCTCGCCGGAAGAGGAAGAGTTCGAGTTCTATCACGAGCGGCTGCACTCGGCGCAGAGCCGCCAGCTGATACCACTACAGGAGGACTTGGCCGATTGGATCAACAAGACGATAAGTGAGTAGCACATTTTCCAGACGTTACAGATGAAGCGTATTTTTGCATGAGTATCGATCGGCAAAGGGAAGAGAAAAAAAACTCGACCGACGAGTTCGGGTCACCCGCCAAGGCCGGCGGAACGCCAGTTTCGTGAGAAATTTCGATAACCGTTAGATATTACTACTCGCTAATTTATGGGAAAGATCGATAGCTCGTGCGGATCTATAGCCCGCGCGAATTCGCAGACCGACTCTGAGTCGGAATGACTCAGAGTCGTACTCCGCGTCGGAGTTTCCCCGATAGAAACGCGAAATTGAGCCCCTCCCACGGAATTGCCTTCCACCCAAATTATAATAGTTTCGTGCTCGTGTAACTTTGTCGTCTCGATGCCACGTCACGCGAGCATCGCCGGCGACAGTGCATCGCGTGTTATCTTCGAAATATCGTTTTCATGTAAAAAGTTTGTCAAGAGCTCACCGAGCGCACGTGATAAACACGACTCTAGATATATATATTTATTAACGTCGAGAGCACTGAAATCATGCGTTCGGAAAGACAAATGAAAAAGAAATCTATTTCACAAATTTATTTAAATTCTCTAAAACACTTGAAAATATTAAATTGAGCACGATGTGTAGTTACGTAAAAAGATGTTGGAGTTTTCTTATGGGGCTTTTCCCGTTCGGCTCGATCGGCGAATGCCGTGTAAGGCGCAGAAAGAAATCGGCGTGGCGTAACGCCGTGCAACGACTCCGACATTCGCGCCATCCTCGACCACATTTTTTTTTCCTCGCGTTCCATCACGGAATCGGGCTTCGCCCGATGTGAAGTCACCTTAAAAAGATCCGGCCGCGGCCTGTCGTGCCACGGGATGTGGCGTGCGCGTGCAAGCCTTACGCAGCTTTGGCGCGTAAGAGCCAACACAAAAGTTAGCATCTGGCGCTATACGTGGGAAAGGATATTCATAATATTTCGCTTTACACTTCGTCGCCGGCTCGGGTCGGGCTGACGTGCAAGAACGTGCGCGCCATGTGCGCAAAATTTCGCGAGGCTCGCTCGAACGTTCGCAAAAACGTTCAAGGATGGCAATATATATCCGTACATCGTTTCATATGAAAAAAAATTCCGCTACTTTACAAGCCTATTCGTAGGTCGTGATAAAACTGTTCAACCAAAAATGCCTTTTTTTCGAACACCATAACGGGACTAATCATTTCCCGTAGTCTTTTGGACTCTGAATTCGAATCCGGTTGTGAAGAATTGCTTTATCACGTTATAATTTTGAAAAATTTGCAGGCAAAGTTGGAAAAAGGCCTATTTTCACATATTTTGCCATATTATAACTTCGAAATGCCACGTGCTGGAGAAGTGTTCTTGCAATCAAAATTATGTATGTTGTTAGGATTTTCTCTCAAAAGGACTTTTTTTTGTCCGCTATAGTTAACAAGTCATTTATTGTTAAACATCTATTACGGAAAAGCTGTGAGTTAAATCATTGACAGTTTAACAAACAGCTTCCAATTTTGTTAATTTAATTTACAGCTTTTTCACAATAAACCTTGTGTTTAATAATAAATGATTTGTTAACTATAACGAACACAAATATTCCTTTTGAGGGTTGAAAGTCCTAACAACATATTTAATTTTGATTGCAAAAACACTTCTCTAGTACGTCGCATTTTGAAATTATAATATGATAAAATACGTGAAAATAATCCATTTTGTAACTTTACCTACAAATTTTTCAAAATTGTGATAGAGCAATTCTACAACCAAGTTCGGATTCAGCGTCCAAAAAACTATACGGAAAATTACTAGTCTTGTTATGGTGTTTTTTTTTGTTGAACTGTGTAATAGGAAGCAATGATTGTAAAACGAACTGCGCGTCACGTAGAACATAAACTGATAGCTAGGACGACCTCAAAAACAACTGTAGTATGATCAATAAGCAATTGTTCTCACTGTTGATGCGCAGAATATGGAAACGGAATATACTGCATACAGATCGTTATCGCATCGGCACTAAATTTGGGAAGTTCGAAGTAGGTGAAAGTTTCCGCAGCTTATTAGATTACACGTGAAGACTGTATTTCTAAAACGAGTACACGAGGTTAATGCCATAAAAAATTCTTACTCCGAGTCTACACCTGATCAACAAACTATCAATCGGCAGTCTTTTAAACCAATCGGTTAGCCTTTCAATTTTATTGATTTGTTCCATTTAAGATAAGTGGCATTTATTAATCGCTTAATTCGATCAACTGTGCAACGAAAATTGATCTGTTTCCGTTGGTAACGCAGTAAATATATCGTGCAATATGTCGCTTTAATTATTCTATGAGCTATCGGACAATAGATTTAATCGAGCGTACGTGTATCTCCTGAAATAATTGTGTTTAAAAGTACGGGAGAGTGTTTTTAGAAATTTCTGCGCTTCGTCTTTAGAGCAAGAAGAAAGAAAGGTGAAATGACGTGAGAAGAGCGATGGCCCGTGATTCTTTTCCTACAAGGAACTGGAAATCGACCGATGGCTATCTAATTCCAAGGCGCGCTTGTGTGACCGCCTTTCTGAACTGCTAGTTTCCTAATACGGTACGAATACGAGTTGATGCGTAAAATAGAACCGCCACGGTGTACCGAGCGGTGTCGCGGAAAGTAGCAATTCCGACGCTACACGCAGCATTTCACGTAACACAAACATTCGCGACGCGCGGGACTTTTCACCGCGCGCTACCCATCTCCATTCTGACCTTGCACTTTTTAGCGATTTGATCTTGAGAATCACCGGCGGCAGTTTCGCCGGTGCGCCGAGATTGTGTCCCTGAGATTACCGCTCTGTGAAGATAATTCATTGGTTCCCCGTTAGATCTCGTAATTGGATCGCGTACCGAATGGGAGATTAATGATGAAAAACACGTCGCCTCTAGAACACACACTCGCCAAGTACCTTAAGCGCATAATTCGATTCACTTGCGATTGTCGCTTTGCCCGTACTTTCACCTCTGATTGCACGTTGCCGCAGCAACGCTGGACGCGATTAAGCGCGTGCCGCGGTATCATCGATGCGCGGACACCGAGGAAAGTGCGCCCGGATCCGGCGTAAGATACGCTCGGATTCGCATCCGTTTGGCGAACGGTATATGCGCGAAAACGAGTGTGGTCTCGGACGCGACCTCGAAGGATCCGGCCTCGCGATGTGGACCACCCTGAGAGATTGCGACACGAGAGTTGCGCGCCGAGAAAAACGAATGATACGTAAAGGTGCGCGCATCGAGGTTCGTATACATATATATCTAGTGTCGCAAAAGGTTATAAGGCGACGCGCACGAGATATACGATGATTTACGTGACTCGCCTAAATCGTGTCGCTTAAAATATATCGATCTCCCGGTCAGGTCGCCGGAGATACTCGGGCGGTAGTAAATTAATGCCTAATGGTATTATCGCGTAACGTTTACGGTACAAGGATTTCCCGGATCGTTAAAAGCGCGTCCGTGAATAATACTTGACGTATTAAACGCAGTTTTCAAGATAATCCGAGATCCTTCCTGAATGGACGGTAATGAAAATGTTTCTTTTTTTTACTCAGTCGCCTGTGCTCTTGAACGTGAATGTTACTATTGTTTTAAAGCGCATACGAGACACGTGTTCCGTTCCCGGGGGGAGAAGCCGCTCCTTCGCACATATCGTATGCACGTAATGTATGTATGTATGCGCTGCAATTTTGCAAATTGCTTTCCTTTTCTTTGGTGTGTAATTTTGAAATTAGCCTGGACTTTCTCTTTACTAGAACATGAATTTATGAATTTACAAGACAAACCGCGCGACATTATCGACTATTTGCATTTCAGGCGAATTAGATAACTGAGAATCAGCGAAAGGATTTTGATCTTCTATTGCTTTTTTTTTTTTAATATCATCAGTGAAGAAAATTTAATGCACTTTGACTGTTATATTTTCTAACGTATCGTATCAATAAAATGCTCTGAGGGTGATTTTGAAAGAGACACTTTCAACGAGGCGTGAGTAAATAAAGAAAGGCATTTGATGAGTTTCCGAAGATAGCGAGAGAGGTTGAAATTTCCTAGCGTGTCAAAACGAGCGTGTTTGCTCATCCACGTTTGTTTGAGGAACAGATTTGCTCGCACAATTTTTTTCGCAAAACACTGTCTAACGAAGATTAGAGATATAGAAATGAGAACATAAGAATTTTTCGAAGGAAATCTCGTTAACTCTTGTAAATAAAATTAGAAATAAGTGTTAAAATATTAATTCGATTTTTTACATTACTCCTATTTTATATAGATTCTCATAAAGATTTTATCAAGAGAATTACAAAGAACAAAAGAAAAAGAATTGTGGCTTGATGTAGTCCCATTATATAGCTTGTTTAGACAGTTAGGTGAATAAGCTATTTAGACGGCTTATTTAGACATTTTAGACGTTACATGAGTTTCTCTTAAGAGGCTTACACAAAATGAAGACGCAGGAGAAGAACTTCTCATTGATATTCAACGGTTGCCAAAGCATCAGTGACGAGCATGAAAAAAAAAAATAACACGACGGTCTTTCGTTTACCCACGCGTGCGCGCGCCCTGCGCCTCCTGCACAGTTGCAAAGCCTCTGTGACTCAACCGGAAGTCGGCCGGGCACCCCTCTTCCTTCACGCCACTTCTTCTCTTCTCCCTTCATCGCGGGGCACCCAAAGCCGCATTACGCATAACATAATGGGCGTACCGCCTTCCTAATACGCTTGCGCATCCGCGGGGGACACCATCGACTCGTGAGACGATCTCGGCCGCGAGTCTAAGACAACGCGGCGAGATATCGCCTTGACACGCGCCGCGGACGGCCCGATCGGGCCGTAAATCAAAGAAAGCGTAGCCTTTGGCTCGCCGCGCTAATTTATCGTCGCCGATTATTCTGCCGATACAGGCGCCGCAGAGGCGACCGCGCGCGGACTCGCGGACTCGAAACGGATTTATCGTGGGATCCTGGGTATCGCGGGCCGATATGCGCCGTTTATAGAGGCGTGCTTCCGAGCAAATCGTGATCGTGCTTCGGAGCCGCTTTTGCCACGCCGCGCCGTCGTATTGCGTGGCAAATGTAGCTCAAAAATGCCGGCTCTATGACACGAACGAGCAGATAAGGAACGGATATACACGCCTCGGCGGTGTATATAACGAGGCGATAATCGAGACGTTCACGAGTATCACGAGCGCGAAAAAGAGGCTTGGAAATATATATCGCCCGTAGAGACCAGTCCGGCATTAAAACCAAGCCATCAAGGATTTCGCGAAAATACAGGTCACGGCGTATAGTAGTCGCGCGCGCGCGACGAACCTCGGGCTCGTTGAGCAATCGCGAGAGAACGAAGGGCGGATGTCAGTACCAATAAGAGTCGGAGGAAGTCCTTCCTTTCGCCGCGCGGCACGTCGTCGGCCGTAAACCCGTCGTGAAATTTATGCACGGAGAAGACCGTGTATATGTCTTTATTCCGAGTCGGGGACACGACTTATCTTACCTCACCCGACGCCCGATGATCGATAGCCGCGCCGATCGGTGCCATGTTACCCTTCATCGCAAGACGAGCATAATCGTTGCACCGGAAAATCGCGGTCACAGCCGCGAGGGGATTAAGGTCGCCAGGTTTAAAATACGAGAAAAACGCGACTCGCGCACGCAGCATACTCGTACTCGGAGGATTTCAACGATTAAAATAATTTCACGCTCGAATGGATGTACGTTTGTAAACTTTAGTCTACTCTCAACTTTCGGTTCTCACGTCTCGCAACTTCCGACTCGAATTCTTAATGTCGCTTAACTTACAGTCTTGAATCTTCAGTTTCTCGACTTACATTTCGATACCGTCGCTGCACGTGAGTGGCATGAGCAATGAAAACCGTAAATAGCGGATGACATAATGTGAAAGACACAGAGATTGTCTCCCTTTCTCATGACACGGATATAACTTTCATTAGTTACTATACAATACTCGACGTCGACGAAATTGTCTCACGGAAAACGCCTGCACGATCCGCCGGCATTGGCTATTCGCACGCGGAACTTGCTAACGCGAGACAAACGAGGGATTCCGCGCGACGTATCGGCGTAAACCTGAGAGAGATATTGTCAAAGAGACACTTGACACCGTAGCTTCCACATTTAAATATCCAAAAGGAGGCTCGTCTGACAGCGAGGTGTCGCCCGCAGTCCGCCGCGTTTCGCTTCCTCAATTCCATATGCGGACGCGCGCGAGATTCTCGCGCAGATACCTCGATCGGTAGCGGATTCATCCGGGCGACGCCTCTAAAGTCACGTCGGACAGAGACGGGGAACGACATAATGCCACGGACATGTATCTCGGGCTCGGTGACGGGGAACACGGTCGCCTCACGTAGTTCCGGGTGACCGAGTTTCCCGCACGGACGGGAACTCCTCGCGCGTCCGTGCACGTGCTCAAGTCCGAGACTGGTCTCCCAGCCCAACCCGTTTGCAGCTAATAAAAGTCATTTTCCGTTCGACCGTCCACTTCATCCAACAATGTTCAGAATGCTTGTTCTTGAAAAAAAAAATCATGCGGTAACATCCAGACTGTATAATCAGTTAGGACTGTAATTTTATGATACTTTACGTGCAGGTCTCGATTATTTTTATAATATATAATGTATAATAGAATTCAATTGCTTGTATATATAGAATTAATTCTTGAGAAGTTTAGAAATTTATAAAGCTATCGCGAAACAAGTTCTCTTAGCAATTCTTTTTAATTTTAATAAAGTTTATAAGTTTATTTTTGAGGGACTGTAGAGCCGATTTGGGATGCCACGTGGTTCCGTGTGGGAGCAGCAGACGCGTAATTGGCGAATCTTGAGTTCGATCTATCGTCCCACGTACGGCTTTTAAAATTCATAAAGCGACTTCCAAGTTGGAGGTTATTTATAACAATAAATAGAAAAACGCGCGGTAAACGAACCATACGCATTTAAAATTTCAATTAGAGATATTACAAGATGGAATTACTTACGTGGAACAGAGAAGACTGCAATAAATATTGTCGAAAAGACAGATATATTCAACTTACTATGACAAACAACTTGCGAATAAAAAATTGATAAATTGAAAATCTTAATATCATAAAATTATACTTTAATATAATAATTAGATCATCTCAATTATGCGTTATGTCGACAATCACATTAATAGGTGAAACACCTATATTGTCGCGAATGTTCACAAAGAGGAAGATCGAATCTTCAAAACAGGTCAAAATTCACCCAGGGTTGGAGTCAATGCCGATCGATTTCGTATCGTACGTGTTCGCAGTTCCGATACATGCGGTAACGCCGGTCGCGGTGCGCCACGTGATAGATTCCGCCGTGTTTAAAAGCCCGTTCTTTTCGTCGTGCCCCCGGTGCCAACCCCCATTGTTGTTACCGGGTCGAGTCACGAGCCCGCGCGCTCGCGGGTTCTCATTACCATCCGTATCTGCGAGGCACTATCGCTGCGCCAGGGCCCAACCTAGTTCCTATTTCCCATTGTGCCCGCTCTATATCTATATCGATGGTGTCTACGGGATCGTGTGTCGCGACCCTGATGCGAGTTTTCCTTAGATTCACTCATCGATCGCTCCGCCCTGGTATAGAGAAACGACATGTAAAACGGAGATATTGACACTCGAGTTGATTCAAGCGTCTTTAAGTGGAGCACGGATTTCTACATTTCGCGTTTTATACTTTGTATTCTTTTTATCAGTGCGCGAATAAAATATGGCAACTTCTTCGGTAGTCGAAGATGTTACTGCAATCTATAAAAAAAAAATCGCGTTCTTAACATCGTTTTTATACAGGTTTCTTTAGCTATAAATTTTGTGCGTTTCTCTGATTTAGATTTACAGCCGATACGCTCTACTTCGACAACTTTGATAAAACTTGGAATAAAAATAAATCACGTACGCGAAGCGAAGAGGTGAAAATCGCAGAGTTTTCCGAGAGGAAAAAAAAAGACTTCTCCCGCCGGCGTATCCGGTGAAATTCAATTGCTCCGATATCTTCGGCCACGATATATAATCGGATAACGATCGCTATAGTGCGCTACCACACGTTCGTCCGTATCCTAAAACGGGAGATCTAACGGATCGAAACAGGAGGCGGTAATAGATAACGGCCGACGGTGAGCGCAGATGCGCTCACTCTATCATCTACCGTATGGCTGGATTCGCGCATGAACTGCACGGGGGATAATGAATACGGAAAAGAGACGGCAATAAATAACATGCCGGCCGGTAATAGATAGCGGCTAATGGCGGGCACAGACTCGGATTAACGTGCATAATTAACATACGTGTTAAGCCGAACGAAGAGAATGGAAGCGTCTTTTTGCGGGGAGGATTACATAATTTGTCAGGGTAAATAAGGACTCTTGTTAGGATCTGTAGAATGACGGGCGCGAGAGGTATATGTGATAGGGAGGGTAATTAATGACGGCTAATAATGAGAAGAGACTCGGATTAACGCGCCTGATAAATTTACACGTTGAAATTGATCAAAGGAAATGGAAATCTCCTCTTTTCGCAGAGGAGATTTTTTTTTAAAGACAATCTGCCTAATTTAAAGGCAAACAAGAGGGAGCAAAAAGACTCGATCGGCTCGTTTTCCAGAGAAGGTCCAGAAGTTCATCAAATATTTATCAGGGGATCTCGCGCGAGGTCTCTCCTCTCGTTGGAGCCGATATTGGAAAGTTCTATTTATCCGGAAAAGTGGAACGTGGTGCGGCGTCCTTGATCTGCGAGCTTAAGTACCTGGCTAAGTACCTCGGCAGGCGAACGAAACTAAAGCGATTTTATATAGTCACGCATGAGTCGACCCTATCCGTGAGAGTAATGCGACCCGACTCTCGCTTCTCGCTTGACCCGCCGTGTCGTGACAGATCGACGGTTTCTGACGCGCGGCGTTTCAAAAGCGCCGCCCTTTTTCCCCGCTGAAAATCACGAGACGCGACGAGAGAGTCGGAGATCGGAATCTCGCCGGGACGATGAATCAGCCGTTCCCGACCTAAACCTAAACCGATCTCCATTGTCTTTCCAGTTGTGCCAATCCTGCCGATCGCCTGCATTAAAACGGGCCGTCCTTGAGCGTCGCCGCGCTACTGATAAATGATTTACCGCACGATCACTCCCGGGTGGTAAATTTGTTTCTTCAAACAGGCCTCCTCGACCGACCAAACCGGCTCGCCGATCGACATTCGATACATGGACGAATCACCGTTGTGTTCTTGGCTACACTTACGGGCGATTACTACAATCACGTTGCCGATCGATCGTGTCGAATAGCTGCTTTCGCGAAGTTGCGTACAGATTTTTTAGACTGCCCCGACGTAGCTCGAGCTTTATAAACTTATCGCAAGTCTACTCGGTAAATTTTCGTTTTGTGTAATAAATAAATGATATACGGTAAATAATTGTGGCTTGCACGACTGAGAGAAATCAGTGCGTTGTAATTATATTGATCAAGAAAGTAGAAGGTATAGCAGTAAGAAGATAAGGCATGATATATAATAATTTTCAGCTCGGAGGCTGAACAAGCGTGAACGATAGGCTACTTTTTCCGTTACGGCGTATCACCTCATCGAGCCACTTGAATGTCATTGAGAGATACTTAGAGCTTATGCCGAGGGATACTCATGCGTACAATGCGTGCGAATTATCGCCGGCGCGACGGACGAGCGAGCTAATTTCGCAATCTTCAAATTTCAGATGTGGATTACATAACGGGTGACAATTTCTTCGACGTGCTGGATAATGGGGTGATTGTATGTCGACTGGCAAGAGTTATTCAGGAAAAGGCGAGATCCGCGGTGGAGGCTGGGCGGGCGAAGGGAGTAAGCATATTATAAATTCTTTATCTCAGCTTAAATTTCATTATTTTCGTGTGTATTAAGGTTCCCTGCAGTAATAATTTCTCTCTTGAAGTTCTCTTATTATATGCAATGTCGATTAATTGTTAAAATATGTACAATATATTGAATTTGTCACCAAAAGAATTTTGAAATCGAGAACTTTGTTTTGGCATAACAGTAATGAAAGTTTGAAGGGAAGAAATTTTTGCTCGGAAACATAGAAAAATGTTATTGCAGCCGGCGCCGGTGATACGTGGACGTTGCTGGGAGAACGCGGCGCGACGCAGCTTCTTCTCTCGCGACAACATGGAGAATTTCATACAATTCTGCCGGCGGCTGGGCGTCCACGAGAATCTTCTCTTCGAAAGCGACGATCTCGGTAAGGCCGGGGCGCAATTAATTTTAATGCATGCGAATTAAGCACCACGGGGCGGGCTTGCCGTCGCGCGCAAGCAGTGTCCCGTTCGCTCTATCGGACGACTTTCAACGAGATGAGATTTAAGTGCGCGCCCGATTAAGTTGACGAGCGGCGATTAGCGGAAACACAGTAATTGACTCGTACAATCTCGTGTACGCGGACACGCGTATGCCGTATAAATTACGATCCGGCGTAAAACGAGGTATGCAAATCCGGAGCGGTTGGCGTTGTGACGGGAAGCGAGAGTGATCGTCGCGCGCGACTTCGCGGAAAGTGGAGCGAATCTGCGGAACTCTCTTCGGAGATCGGCGGGACTTTCCCACTTAATGAAGTTTAATTGCCGTCGAAAACGAACAATGCGATTACGTAAATGACGTAACGACGTAATCGAGCGTGGCGGGAAACCACCTTTGGGAAAAACATTTTATTGTGCGGGAACAGCATTGACCCGAGCAAAATCGAGAACGTCACGACAATAAAAAATTAATCTCGATATGATATACGTAAAATAAACACGCGTTTGTCGTTTAATACCAACATATACAATACGTACATAGCGTGGTCCATCTCTTTGCAGTTCTGCACGGCCAACCACGGAATGTTGTGCTGTGTCTGCTGGAAGTCGCGAGACTGGCGGCCAGATATTCCCTGGAGCCGCCCGGACTCGTGCAGCTCGAGAGGGAAATCGCGGCGGAGCAGGAAAGGGATCTTCACTGTTTGTCCGACAGCGGTATATCCCACAGCAGCCTCGTCTCCTGGCAGTTCCAGTCGCCGTCGCCGACCGCGACACCCAGGCCGTCGCCGGAGAAGATCAAACATAGCAGGTAAACAGGCCGTAATTTTTTAATTTTTAATAAACGAATGTTCTCACGTTTCCGCTGTGAGTCGCCCAAGTGCCATCGATCCTGCAACCACACAATATTTTTCAATGCGTTACCGTACGACATAGCGGTCGACAAGCGACGATATTGCGGGACGAAACCAAAACTGAACCGTTAGGGAATGCATAAGTTATTCGCTCGCATAATTTCTGTTTCACTTTACGCGCATCGCATTCGGGACAGCGCGCCCAGAACCCCGACATATTCTGGCTCATTTACGACGACGACAGATTTCCCCATCGGGTTAACAGTCGCTGACTGAACGGGCAATTCTGCGTGGTGTTACCGAGAAGGAGACCTCGGAGTCGCGCAACTCCGTAGGAGTGGCTGAATTTTATAGCATATGCAAAGTTTCCGGTGCGTGTGCCGAAGCCATTGTGTTATTCTGCAGAATAGTTGGGTGTAACGTTTGCTCCGTTGAATTGTTTAGATAATTGTTTTCTCATTCGGGCAGTTCGCGAAGTCGTAAATCATACATACAAGTTACATAAGAATTTTCATTTCCCTCGCTGTGTCACTTTCAACGCAGCAGTAATATTTTATGAAAGCATGAGTGTGAGAGAGAGAGAGAGAGAGAGAGAGAGAGAGAGAGAGAGAGAAAGAGTTCGACAGTCGTAAATCGTAATATAATTCCAGCTCGGCATCCGAAGTCACAACAACCGGCACACGATGGCTGGACCCGGTGACCGGTGCTACGCACGAATCTGAGATGCGAAGGTCCGTCAGTGACAACGGGCCGACTGGAAGTGACGGGGTGCCTAGCGACACTACCGAGGACGACTGGTCCCGCGGCAGTGTCGAAGACCCCGACGAGGTGCCGTCGCCGTCGAGCTCGCCATCGCCATCGTCGGCCGAGCCACCGGAGCACCCCGGACCGATAACAGAACTCGATCGCAAGGTACCAGAGTGTCCCACTTTCACTTACAATGCAATCCCATTAATGGAGTCCTCGATAGTTTCGAATGCATCCTGCGCTTCCTGTATAACACAAAAGAGTCCTCCATATTTAATGATATTGTCAAGAGAAAATATCTCTCGCTGTATCGCTTGTCACATTTAACAATTTCCAACAAGATTCGGAGAAGTATTTTTCCTCCTGGGAACGAAGGTCCGATACTGAAGGGTTGAAATAATAATGTAGCAATGCAGAGGAAGCTGCCTCCTTCCGTGTCGCATACGATAAGAAATGCATATTGCGGAAGGTTGAATAATTTATATTCTTCCCTATTAATGTTAATGTAGCTTCGCTGATTATTCTACGCACGCGTTGTTTTAGTCGTACCTTCTCTCGCATGTCGTTGAGAAAACCTTGGTCCTGTACGTGTTATTACTAGACGTTGCGCTTGCATTGTAATCATTATCGTATACGAGAGGGAAAAGGTGGTATACGGAAAGGACGCGCGATGGGAATCGGCGTTTTCTCGTATATATTATATTTTCCACGCACGCATCTCTGCACGCGCGTGTCGGGATTCTTGCACGCCTAGCGGCGGAAGTTACGCACCGGCGCGGCGCGCGGTATCTTCGGCCCTTTGCTCCTCGCTGCGACGACACGTCGAGGCGATTTATCTCGCGTGACAGCCGATCATTCTTCGTACGTATGTCCGACAATAATGAAGGCGGACGGGCCCGGGTGCACAAAAAACGCCCGTCTAAATATATACCCCGCTATATCCTTTCGTTCGGAGCGAAACCTCTCTCATTGTCCAGTATCTCCAGCATCGCGTGCCTCTCTCTGTCTACAGGTGCGAAGAGCCACCGAGGCCGTCCAGAGACTCTGCCAGTGCCCGTCGAACAAATGCTCCAAGCTGAAGGTGCGCAAAGTCGGCGAAGGCCGCTACCATATCGCGGGACGTAACGTCTTTATCAGAGTAAGTATACATCTATCATTTTTTTATCATATATAACTCGTATCTCTTTATCGAAATTAAAATTATCAAAAAAATCGATAATGTGTATTAAGTATTGTCATAAAAATTTTAAAGACGAGTTGCACTTTCGTTCAATATTTCGAGTTGTTTCTCAAAGCCGAGGTGTTCCATATCCGATTTGAAAGCAAAGGGCCTTTCCCTGAAAATCTCGAGATCTTTTTTTTCCCTTCTTCTTTATTCCTATCATGTCACGATGACCCTTCCGAGCGTGACGGTCGTTAATGACCAACCGCCGCTGGTGTGTTTGCAGCTTCTCAAGGGGAGACACATGATGGTGAGAGTGGGCGGCGGATGGGACACTCTGGAGCATTTTCTGGCGAGGCACGACCCCTGTCAGGTGAGGGTCCTCAACCGCGAGGGCACACCGCCACCCGGCACCAAGCACGACAGCTTCTTGCACATTCGCGCCAAGTATCGCAGCCCGCCGTCGTCGGAGCCGAGCCTCGCACGCCGGTCGCTAGCCTAAGAGAGAGAGAGCACACGTAGTGCCTAATCACGCGCGCCCACACGCGACGGCGGGCCCCCTCGGGCCCCCCGTCACGTGGCGTGATGCTGCCGCACGCTTGGCGCACGTGCGAATTGAAACATCCCGGATACACACCGCGCAGCGTGTACCGCTATCACGTCCCCGTCGGCCTGTTGTGGGTCAGGTAACGCGTGATGAAACGACGCGTGGCGGGCTCGGGTTATCGTAAGGACGGCAACACGCATCATCGCATGATTTTTCACGCACGATACATTCCTCCTTTCCAACTACGTTCGATGAGTTGGCTATTTTGAGGGAAGGAGAGGCGCCCCGCGGAAGCCCGCCTTTAAGCGCCTCGCGGTCACTTATGCACATTCCGATACTCCGTATATCGCTATTTGCGAGTTCTCTTTACCGGTGAAAAATCACCGATACAGACGCACCGCCTATTTTATATATATATATACGCCGGTTCGCATACACGATACCTCTAACCACTCTCGTACCTACTGTATATGTACATCCCGAATTGCGCGTACAATTTGTTACGTGTAAACCACGTTACGCACGTCGGTCACGGTATAGAGAAGCACAGGAATCGCTATTTTTTACATACGTCCGTATGTCAGGTGGTTGAAGAGCACCGCAGGTGTCGAAGGGCATCCTCGCAGACGCCGCGCAACGGGTCGCGATTTTTTCAAGGAGAAGTAACGAATAGTCAAAGTATCCGTTCTGTATCCAAGATCGGCGTCTGCGATTCAGGAGACTTCGACTATTCGGCACTTTTATACATTATCGCGTCAACGAATCAATCGACTAGTATTACATTTGGCCTTTACCTCTCGTCAGGCACTAACGTTTTGCGGCGTCTACCCGGAAGTTCTTCGACCAGCAAGCGCGCTGCACTAATGGTAATGGTAGCGTTAAGATGCCGCAATGACCAAACTTTATTTTCGGAACCGTGTCATGATAATCATTATACTAATGATACAGATAATAATAGGAACTTTTTGAAATAAATGTCCAACTTAGAAGCTCAAGCGTTTTACTTAGCGCTTCGTGAGCTACGTGCAATAAAGAGAAAAAAAAGTGCAATTAAAATCTCAGGTAGAAAATCGTCCGTGGCATGCCTTAAAAAAGATCGACTAATCTTTTTTTCTTCTTTTAAGAAAATTTCTTTCGCGACACTGACATATCGTTTTTCCCCTTAAAATCGTAATTATGACGTAACAATCATAACAGCTTTACAAATATTTCCAGCCAAACTGGATAATATCGAGTATTAACGATATTATTTTATTATCGATGTCGTATAACGTAGTTTTTTTTTAAATATTCAACTCGAATTCAATTGCGCGTCTTGGTCATTGCTAATATTTCCTATAAACCAATATATTCTTATATAGTGCACTGCCATAGTTTACGACGGCAAACACGCGATCAGGCACTTATATCGTAATTAATCGACAGGGTCGGCTTGATTTTCAGTGTATTACTTTCTACACATTCCGAATTAGGAATCGCTTACGACGTATATAATTTGCCGTACAGACTTGATGAGTGAATTTTTCTACGTGTTGCATTACCGATATTTTCGTAATCATATGTCACCAAAGAATGATATGTTCATATCTGAGAGCGTTTTTTGCAATATACGTTATCAGTTTTTTTTTGAGTTGTACTTAATCTCTTACGGTTTCCATTTCAGCCGACCCTGAAATTTATATAGATACACATTAGTATTCGATTAATATCTAATACAAACTTATATCACCTAACGTGTAAAGTGCTTCATGATAATTGTCACGATGTACACACATCTAGATACATACACACACACACACACATATATATGTTTTGTACTTTTATATAAATTAATCTACGGTAAGTTAAGGGGGAGGTAATAATGGTCGGCGTATATTGCCGAGATAATTAAACCGTACAATTATTCCGCTTACAGAAGTGCAAGAGCACAGTGTGCAAAGGAATACCAAAGCAAAGAAACATGCGACGAGTAATGTCGGCTCGTTGAAGCTAATTAAACCGTCATCCGTGATCCGTTTATCCGTGCGTGTCAGTTGCAGTCGGGAAGATTTTGTGGTCGTGTTTCGACGAAAATCGACGTCTCTTTCATACAAAAATTATCCTTCACGAAAATAATCCGTTCACGGCGTTCCATCATCCTTTGCGAAATAGAATCAGTGTTAAATTGCGATTTGCACTGTAATGCAATAAGCTTAAGTTTAGCGAGCCTACTACAGGGCCTTACGTTTACTGCAGACATATACGATTAATTTTTTTTTTGCGAGAAGGAAGAGTTACTTCCTAATTTAAAACCGCCCTGCCTAATTAAACTAATTCTCGCCATATTATGTAATTTTGTAAATAATACGTCGCTCTGACATATCGACAGATTATGATAATTGATTTAAGTTAATCGTACCTGCTTTATATCGCGTTAACGTCCGCGGATTTTGCGTATATAAACTGTATGATCCATATATATATATATATATATATATATATATATATATATATATATGTATATATATATATATGTCTAATAAGTTATTTATACATATAACTCGTCAAGTCCCTTTTTATTACAGATTACGTTATTGATGTTCGAACTTCTCGATATGCGCTAACATTGCGACGCGTAAAACAGAAGGAACTATGTTTTGATGATATTAAACTGTTAGAAATTTATTTAAGTTATATTATTTATAGTGAAATACTGAAAGCAGTATAATTAATGAACGTAAGTTTTAAGACAGATTATCGTTTACTTCGACACCGTTTCATCGTAATTATTCAGCTATTAATGAAGTATTATAATAGCATTGCAGTATTGCATATATATATATACGTACGTTTAATCTTTGTTCATAATATAACTGCACTAGGCTTTCGCAAATTTTAAGATTTTGTCTAATACGCAAGATATATTGAACGCAGCATTTACCTTTATCTATTCAACTAAGTTCAAAACTATTATGTCGGTTGTTATATTTTGTTGAACAATAAAATATCTGACAGTATGATGTGCCCAAAAATTTTGTGACTATAGCCAAAATCACCACGTATTGCTTTTTAGAATCTGATACCAACTTCCACTCCGTATTATCCTTTCCCGAATAATATTACGATTACAAAAATAAAAATGAAATTAGCTTCATATTTCGCTTGATATATGATAAAAGTATTCATTATATCAAATTACGAAAGAGCTATATTGTTTTCTGCCAGTAATAATTTGCAGTTAATTATCTCTACTTTTGTAAACTCTAATGATTGACATTACTACTGCAAAATTATTTTTAATTGACAATCATGAAGAAGGGAAGGGATATATTTTCATTTGCATACTAAACATATATTTCGTATAAAACCAAAGTCATTACAAATTAATTTAAAAAATATGTTTGGTTAAACATTACTTTGCATTAGCGCTATTTCTAGATAATACGAAACATATGCGACTTAGTGTATATCTCTAGAAAAATTTTTGGTATATATTTATATTTAATATATACGGAATACTTATAAAATGTAATATAATAAAATAAATCAATATATCAGGTATATAGGTATATTAAAATAATAATACTACTAATGGATAATGCAATAAAAATGCATGGTCATATTCAAATGGTATAAAAAGATGTCGTCATGATGAAATGCGCTCTACTTCTTTTTGCTTTTGCCTAACGTCAGAGTGTGATGTTGGGGTTGCTGCGCGAACTGCGCTTTTCGTCTATTGAACTCCAATATATCGTCCTCAAGCTTTTTGCGACTGTCTTCTAATTTCTTCTTTTCCTCAGTATGATCTTTCTTCAGCTTGTCGAATTTACTGTGAAGCTATGTACAAAAATCAATAAACATGAGTATTAACAGCTGTAATAAAATAACGGATCTAGTGATTTGGGACATTTTATACTTAAACCATACCTCCTTCTCAGCTTCTTTCAATTCAGCCTCTTTTTCTTTCACTCGGGCAACAAACATCTGGCGCATCTCGTCCTCCTTTTGTTGCAACTCTTGCAAGTGAATGGATCTCTTCGCTTCGCACGTCTGTTGAAAACTTACAGGTTTGTTGTCGCTGTCAACGTCACTGAAGCCCATCTGAAAGATCAGAATAAGAAGTTTCAAGAAAGATGACTTTTGCGAAAAATTTCTGATACCAACAATTGAAATATATATACCTGTTCCAATCTCTTCTTTCGATACAGTTCATAGTGGCGACAATGTGTTTTCTCGCGCATATCTTCCATATTGGTACTTATCAGCATCTCGCGCAGTTTCACAAAGTCACAGTGAGATTCATTTTCGACTAATATGCACAATGTTTAATGTTTTCCAGCTCTGTTTTTTCAAAACAAGTATAATAAGTAAAATTTATAAGTATCTTACCTTGAACTGTACCCCACGGATATTGACGAGAACGCATCATTTTATTGCCCACGCGAACGAAATCGGTACTGCCAACGACAGCAAAGGGTACGTGAGTGTTCATGGTGGCGTTTATATCCATAACGCTTTCATCATCGGTTGGAAATTGATAGATATGTATTCCGTTGTTTTGCAGCTCGGATATTATCTTGCTCTAAAATAAAAATATTATAATAAGACTGTGGTGTCACAAGTGACACACAAGTGCGCAGAGTAAATGAAAATAATTTCAGCGGAAATGCCGCATACCTTAAATTTCTGTAACTCAGTCTTCGATATTGTGTCTGCTTTAGCAATAATTGGAATAATGTTGACTTTGGTATCCAGCTTCTTCATGCATACTAAATCAATGGATTTCAACCTGGAAGTACAGGAACATATGCACAATTAAAGCAACTTTCTTAATTCGATAGTAATTAATTCATGATACGCAATAATAATGAATGCTTACCCATGACCAGTAGGACATATGAAATACAGGCAGATATGGATGCGAGTGTCATGATAGGTTGCCAAGTTTCGCTTGATTTTCAGCTCTTCCTGCAAATAAGCTTCAAACTGTGCATCTATATAGTCGACGACTGCCTTGAAGCTGTCCTCCTTGTTGATTTGATCGCCATAGCCGACCGTATCAACGATGGTCAGCTTCAGCCTGACATTGCTCTCTTGCAATTCGTAGGTGTGCGCCTTGAGCTTTACGGATGGTAGATTATGGGGACTGGGACTAGATTCGAAGCTTGTGTTAAAAAGGGAATCCATAAGCGTGGATTTTCCGAGGCCGGTTTCACCTGTTCAAATAAATTAAAACCAAGTGTTTGTTTATAAACTACTTGACGCCTAGTACAGATGTATATAGTAGAAAAATGAGGTTAACACTTTGTACATACCAATGCAGAGAATATTGAATATGAATCCATTTTGCACTGATTTGTTCACCAATTGACTAGGCAGACTGTCAAATCCAACGTGACCTGACAATTTCAGCGTACGTAGCATAGACTCGATCTAATAACAGAAATTATATGTCACCAATGTAATTCTCAAAGAGAGAATGAGAGAGAGAATGTGTGTGTGTGTGTGTGTGTGTGTGAGAGAGAGAGAGAGAGAAAGAGGAAGCAACGTTGTATCCATAAATGGATGAAATAGATGCATGAAGGAATGTTCAATTCAATATACAGTTATGATGCCTGAGAGCCAACACCCTTGAATATGACACATGACTCCACAGATAACGTCCAGTTGTATGTACTTGCACGTATAAAAACAATGTCAAACATGCTTTGCATCGAAAAGAAAGAAGGAGGAAACATTTGCGCCCAACGCAAGTAGAGATATATCGATCACTTGGCGAGATTGGGAAGTGTTTCAAATGCGTTTCCCAGGCGGAAGTTTGTCAAACAAGGACGCTTTTCGACAGGGAGTTACACGTAATCCGAGATGACAGGCGACAACATGCGAGTCCCGGCCGTTTCGACGAAGAGTCCGCGTCCGTCGCGTCGGGGAACGTGAAAGTTCGGGGGAGTCGGCGTGTGCGCGAGAAATTCTCCGTAGTACCTTAGCACGGTCAATATCCTCCGTCGCCATTTTTCCTACGATTCCGCTGCGACTGCGAACGCCCACGGGAACGAGCACTCTCGACAGACGGAAGCCGTGATCCGCGGCGGCGAGCGGCGAGCCTCCTCAAATCACTATCAGAGAATTCGGAGTATGCATGCGCCACCAGAGAGGACCCTGACCTGAGAGCGGCCATGCCCACGGCAGCGCCTCTGGAAAGTGGACATTGAACTACGTAGCCAATGTTCATGATAATGTCGGTAATGTGCACGGATTTTTGGTGCTGATCCGTGCTATGTGCGGAAATGCGAATAGGTTAGTTAGACAAGGACCGACATCAATGTCGGTCAGTCCTTGTCTCAGGATCCTCTCTGATTATAGATTTTCGGTTCTTGCAGTGAATATCGGAACGCAGCCATAGACGAGCGTAAAGGTCCATTTCCGCAATGGGAGCGGTAAGTCGTAAGTCATAAAAAATTGACCAATCACAATCGTATATGAGAAGAATAATTGGATGTAATTGGTCAATTTTTTACGATTTACGACCACAGAAAGGTTTTAACATTTTTTCTTTTTTAAACTAAACGTAGACAAGTGCGCCAATGATCTTGAAGAACTTAATTAACGACGAGGTTAATTAACAAGGATATAATTAACACGTAAATGCGTCGGCGGGCACTCGTAAATTCCGCGGCGCGCCGACACATGCGCCGCTGATGCGCCGCGTCGCGTCGCGTCGAGTCCAAGCGCCGTCGCGACGCCGCGCCGGCGTAGCCCGCGCGCGCGTCGGTGTTCCGCCTAGGAACATTCGGGCCGGCGCGGCTGGCAGTGCTCACAACAGTGCCCACTTTCTAACATGGCAGATCAATTTGTGTTGTATTATCATGTGACGGCGAAACGCTCCCGTTGATAGGACCGTAACCTCGTGCGAAGCGATCGTAGTCCCCCGGTAACCTCGCGAGTGTGGACGCGCGGCGCGCTCGCGGTCGCGTTAAACAAAATCGCGATGGCGGACCTCAAGAGCCCGCCGTTCAGTGACATCAAGCGGCCCGAGGAGGTGGTGGCGATGGCGATGAACGACAGCCTCAAGTTCGCCGTGCTGATCGGCCTGATCGAGGTGGGACAGGTGTCCAATCGGGAGGTCGTCAACACCGTGCTGCACCTGGTGAGTCGATCGAGGAACGAGCGCCGCCGTCACCGTCGGCCGTCGCTGACGGAGCGGAGCGCAGCGCAGCGCGCCCGGCGCCGTCGACGTCGGCGGCCTCGTCGCCGTGGCTGCTTCGCCCCCGCGGGGCCGCCGCGATTCCCGCCGCCCCCACAGTCGACGACACCCGTCGCGACGCTTCCGATATGACAGCCCAACTGTCAAAACTTCCCCGCCTGTCTGCGCGCGGTCGTCGTCGGAGGACCCCCGTTTCTCCGCGAAAAAACGTCGTACTTCTCGAAGGGACCCCTCGCGCGATTTCTCTTCCCCTCGATCGTAAAAACCGACCGACACGCATTACTTTCTCGCCGAGTGATTTTCCTAATTGACTTGATATGCCGTCCGACTTGTCGTTAGCGACAAGCAAGCCTTGGAGCAACTCATTAACATAGCTTCACCTTTACGCTAAATCGGCTAAATAATAGCTCGATCGCGATCTCTCCTTTTCTCGGGGAAATCTGCTCCGAGCTCGTGTATTCTTTTAATATTCGTGTATAGTCTTACAATATCTCTACTTTTAAAAATATTTCACGACGCAACTGTTCCCGCTGATTGAACTGATAATTATTAATTTTACTAGAATAAATAACGATTCGAAATAAACTTAGGATCGACTGACGAGAGCGGCAGCTTAGGCCAAATCAAGATCGGCTCTCCCCGTTCGACGTATATTATTCCACCTCAGCGCGGAAGGCCATACCTCGCGAATCGTGTCGCGCGTTTAGCCGCGAAATGTGCCGCACGATAATCAGCGCGCGCGATAACATCGATCGCCGTAATGGACAAACAGACGCCGGAATCGGCGACGACGGCCGACCGCGCGGACAAGCGTGAGCGCGGCGAGGCCGTCGGACGTAATTACGCAAACATAAGTAATCGTTCGGCTTCGTGCGAACGAGAGGATGACGAGGATCCGCGGATTCGTGACACGTCTCGCGCGGATCGTCCCACGCGCCGCGCGGCTCGCCTATACGATCGCCTATCGGAGTGTGAAACGACGATGACGTGCGCCTGTTGTCGAAGAAAATGGCTGGGAACGTGGGATTTCCCTCTCCCCCCCCCTTCCCCCCTCGCGGGCGGGGGAAGGACGATTTGTTTTTTTATTGTAATCGCGCGCTTTATTCGCGCCGCGGTCGCCCACATCGCCTCCTCGCGTCGCCAGCCGCGCGCGATCGCGCTTACGTGGATTTTACGGTGGGTCACCACCATCGTCGCCGCCGTCGCGGCGCGGAGCGTGCTCTTATCAGCGCCGAATCGTCCCACACACACACACACACACACACATACATATTACACACACTCGTCGAAGTTCCGACGACGAATATATATATATCTCGAGGATCACGACTCTGGCGATTTTCACGGTCGTCCCGAATTACCCTCTCGTCGCGACAGAGGAGTAGTTTATCGCGCCGGGGATATCTTGATGATGGAGCTTCTGGCGCGGATGGATTCGGAGCGCACGCACGAACGCGGAACGTTTCACCGGAACCACTCGTCCGCAAATATCTCACACGTGGCGCCGATTAGCGATCCCTCTCTCCCTGCCGCGCGTTCGGGAACGTTTAAAGTCGCTTCGCTATCGTCGCGGCAACTCCCCGCCGTTCGTCGAGCTCGAGCACGCGTTTCTTCGAACTTATAGGCTCTCTCTCTCGTATGTAACTTTTATACTTATATTTAACCCCGTTCGATACATAGCAACCTGAGCGCGGCGCGGATCGTTCACGTGAAGTGGAACACCTTCTCCTCTTTGAAGGAGCACCCACGTTTACAAAGGCAGGCGCAAAAAGAAAAGAGAGAGAGAAAAAAAAAAAGAAAATCCGTGTCCGTTTTTACCGAGTTTCGAAAAAGTCGCACCCGAGGGCTTAATCTTAAAATGCTTCCATGGACTAAAACTCTTTCTCTCTCTCTCTCTCTCTCTCTCTCTCTCTTGTTTTCAATTATATCTTTAATAAATCCTCAGTCTTTGCGTACTGCATGACGTTTGCCACGCGGCACGCCGTGTTTGCCCCGCTTTGCATAAATATTGTTGTCGTCGTTGATACCAGCTAGCCGGAGTGAGTATTCGTTTCGTAAGGCATTTAACAACCGTGTGCAGTTGTGAACTCGGCAGGACACGTATATAAAGAGATAATAACACGCGCGCGCGTTCGGAATACAGGACGGTAAATTTACTATATTACATCCCGTATATGCCCACCGCCAATATTTCTGAATTATGCGCCGCTCGGACGTACGTACATGTAGCCGTTCCCAGTTTGTATTCTCGCAAAACATTCATATTTGCGATATCGGTTGAATATTCCGTATTATCGTGTCGATTCCGACTACTGCAATTTTCTCTCTCTCTCGTTTTCTCTCGTTCTCGTTCTCTTTCGATATTTTTGCGCAAAAGCAAAAATTGATTTTCCGCGACGGCACATTCGTCATGAGTTAATGGCGGTCAGCATCGTCGCCGCCATCCCGGTTATTAGCGGCCAAAGCGTAAAGACCGTGTGACCGTCTTGAAGGCTAATATCGAGCACAAAGTTTCGAATTCGTTCGACCCTGAATTAGTTAACGCTTGTCCGCAGTCGTACGATATAACCCCGATTGCATAAGCTGCGGCATTTAATCCTATGGCCCCGAGGCTGCTGCACGTACGGCCCGAGCGAAATGCAGTTTGCGAACACATATTAGGTCGTTACACGCCGAAACGGTTCGAAAAACCATATAGAATATGCTCGCCCGGCAAATGATTATTTTATTACGCAGTTTGTGTAAAAAGTGAAACGTAAACCCCTCTACAATTGCTTTTTACCCGTTAACGCCGCATAAATTGCTTCGCAAAATTCCACTTCGATTGTACGAGAGTTTTGCGTTACGGTAATTTTAACAATTGGAGCATTCGAATAATGTTTGTATCGCAGGCATTATTATAGAAGCAATTCGTTACATGAACTCGATATGTAGAGCGAACTATATTACCATCGTCGAGATTAAATGTCAGTATTCAAAGTTCAAAACGTTTAAAATCATGTTAAATTGCATAGAGCGCGAATCAGATCATTTTTAGATTTCAATTTTTAAAAGCTCGTAACGACTGGAAACTATGAGTATTGTCATATTCCCATTTTTTTACGTAGCTCTCGCAACTAATATGTAACATTTTAACGTATCAGTGACCTTCGTGTTACGAAAATGTTATCGTGAAGAGGCATTTAGACTGGAGCTTATTTAGATAAGCATTTTATTATTAACGCGGATAATTTAAATATTTTCTGTTATTATTAGGTATATACACGTATGCGCGTTCAATTTACATGAAAAGACAATGAAGATAATTACAATATTAGCGCGACGCGAGAGATTACGTCTCAAAACTTATCTATTTCAACAATCCTTTCCGAAGACTCGCGTCTTTTATTTTCGCCTTATATACGCGCCTCACCTTTTCCGAAGAGTCAGCGGGGAATTCTTAATGCACCACTTCGACAACGGATTGACGGTGGCTTTCACAACGTCGGAAATCGATGCAATGCGTTTACGTAGGCACATATTTGGTTTGATCGATACGACGGACATGTCGGCGAGTAATTAGATGGAAATTCGCGACTGCAATTCATCACGGCGGCATTATTCGTACACGGTTGTGGTCCCTATACCCCTGTCCCCCTCCACCCCGGTGGTTTCCGTGTCATTGTTATTCGCGTTCGTCTATGAGTGCCCCTGTAGTCACTTTCCACGAAATATTTTATTTATATGCTTATGACATAGTTTTGCCCGCGTGCCGCGGCCGCTTTGACCATCGCGCGCGCACTCGGTGTTAATCGATTTGGCTGTGCATATCGTCTACATGCAAGCTCGCTTTTCACAACCACGGTGGGATTTGTCTCGGCAGAGGGCCGCTATTTATTTCCTCCCGGTTTATAGCTTCAGCAGAAATGTTGCACTCGTGCAATCTATTTTCATATTATAAAACATCGTGTTACGGGTATAACATGTAAATCGTTTTACAGCCGCGAATAGTGAAGATTTTATTTCGCGCAATATTGTCTCTTAATTTTATATTATAAAAACAAGTTGGCATGAAAGCCAACACTTTACGACGCAGACTGTACTTCAGCAACTAATGGTGTTTTTATTACTCAACCATTATTTTGTAAGGTTGGTTATTAAGACAGAGAGATAGCGGGATGAAACCTCCCGCAATATTACAGTCATCTATGATACTTTAAAACTAATCGTAAAATAATATTTTTCTTACTTCTCAGCGATCTATTTTAAATAGGACGAGAGTAAGAGAAATAGAAAGATATAATTTCATATAAATGATATACCTTCACCTATGATATTTCCTAACCTTTGAGGCTATTTTAATGATATTTCGTTATTAAACAGAAAAAAGAGGAAAAAAAGAAACAGATAGAGAAAGAGAATGAGAGGAAGAAGGAGAAGTTTCGTGGCGAAGAGTTATTCTCGTTTATGACATTTTTACCGCGGCTGAACGTCTTGACACAATTTTTACGTCATAATTATATTAGTCTCACGGCTTCTTTGATTTTTCATTTTTCGTCGTTTCTTTTAATTAATTACGCGAGTGTGCAGCGACGATAATAGCAAATCCGCTATAAATAGGTATAATGCTTGCTCTCTCATCATCCCGTTTCTTGAATCACTTAACATCGAAGCGATGTATCATATCCGCGACCGGCGCCGATATTAATCGTTTTACATTCGCATACCCTGCCCGTAATCTTCCGCGATAATGGATTGCGCGCAGGTCGTCGTGGCCGAGGCCAGTCTCTCCTGCCTCGCCTCCCCCGCCTCCCTCGAGTGGAATAAGCGATATCCGCGATTTCACGTACCGCCGATAGTCCGTCGCTAATTGATCGGACAAAAGCGTGATTTTGCAATTTCCATATAAATGGAAATGTAGATTCCGACATATTGCAAGAGTGCGTGGATTCACTATCGTCATG